CTTCCTGGGACCAAAACCTTGGCGAGGCATGGGACAAAGCCTTAGGCCTTCCCTGGAGATGCATCCACATGTCTTTGGTCCCAGAAGCTTAGAGAAAGCCATGAGACAGACTCTGTCCCCAGAAGGAACCTGAGTTCAGAACTGTGAGACAATAAAGCCCTGGGCTTTTCTTTTGTCATATTTACTTATTTATTTTTGACTAGTCAAGTAAAGCCAGAGTAGGGTAGAGAAGGAACCAAAAAATCCATAACTCATTGTGGTCAATTAGTTGTGGACACCACTGCACTCAGACCATCCAAGTCTTTATTGTTTTAAGCCGTCCTTGTTTTCTATTAACCTGGAAAACTAATGTACTCCATTATGAACTAAGACCTCCAGGACAGCAGAGCTGTGCAGAAAAGCAAACAGTTACCAGTGGGTCACTAGGGGTGACAGTGAATGGTGCCACTCCCTTCTCCACACCTTAATCTCTGGATGAATGAAAACTGGCTATGGGAGAGACCACACCCATCAGATGCTGACTTAGAAAATACACAGCCCCCCAAAAGACATTGCTCCAGTCTGCCAGGTACTGCCACTCTGCTGGCGCTGTAACTGAGTCTTCAAGACAGCTGTTCAGGATAATGGGTCTATTCATTTCTTTCAGCTTCCATAACAAATTATCCCAAACTGGGTGGCTTAAAGCAGCACGAATTTACTTTATCACTGTTCTAGGGACTAAAACTTGAAATAAAGGGGCTGGCAGGTCCCTTCTCCCTCGGAAGGCACCAGGAAGAATCCTTCCTGTCTCATAGCCGATGGCCAAATGGCATTTCTGGGCTTGTGGCCGCATAACCTCTGCTAAGAGTTTTGTCTCTTTTTTGTTTATAGAAGAGATCAGGTACAATAATTTGTCCTTTACTTTAGAAATAACGTGCCCTAAAACAATGCACCCTTAGAAATTTTGCTGAAATAGAGGCCACTGCATCTATTAGATTTATTTCCCGTCCTCTGATATGCAAAGTTTCTACTCTCTGGGGTAATTACTGTAATACTTATTATTTGCCAGAGCAAATCGCCACAGTATCATCCAGGTAACAAGCCTCTGTGATATCTTATAGGAGGGCAAGGGGATCCGGGTGCCTGCAGACTAAATTATGACGCAGGGCTGGAAAGTTGATATGCCCCTGGGGTAGGGAAGTGGAAGTACATCAGTCGTGTTGGCAGGCTGAAAATAGATTGCTTCTGGCAGTCTTTACTAATAGGTATAAGGAAAAAAAAAAGGCATTTGCTGGATCAATAACTGCATATCAGGTATCTGGGGCATGTGTAATGAAACCACATCTGTAACAGCTGCTGCAATTGGCGTCACCACCTGGATAAGTTTACAGTAATCCACTGTCTTTCTCCTGCACAGCCCAAATAGGCAAGTTGAGTGGGCGTGTGGGTGGGAGTCACCATCCCCACATCCCTCAGGTCCTTGATAGTGACACTAATCTCTGCCATCCCTCCAGGGACACATTATTGCTTTTGGTTTACTATTTCTCTACTTAATGGCAGTTCCAGAGGCTTCCACTTGGCCTTTCTCACCATAATAGCCCTCACTCCACAGGTCAGAGGACCAATGTGGGGAATGCTGAATATTCCAGTGCATTCTGGAACCAGGGATCTATCCACCCCAGGATGGATCTGAGGATTCAGCAGATCCACTGTGAGATGGACCTGAACTAACACTCCATTGGGTGTCTGACTTCCACAAGACCCTACTCTGACTGGGGGGCCACAGTGAAGTGTTGGAACTCTTAGGTGACTGTCAGTTTAGAGCCAGTGTCCAGTAACCCCTCCAAAAGTCACACTATTTTATCTCAGTATAGAACCATTCTGGTAAAAAGCTGTATATTCCTCCTCAGGCTGTGAGAAAGAGTGACAGTGTAACTTCTGGGCAGCAAAGTAAGGTCCTATCTCAAAGGGACCTGGTTCCCCTTCTTTCAAGGGGTTCTGGGTCTGTAAACCAGCTCAAGTCTAGGAATTGATTGAGGGGCCACAAATCTGTTTTTATGATTCAGGCTCGGCTTTCATTCATTTGAACTAGAACTTTTTTGTTTTGTTTTTTTCAGACAGTCTCACTATGTCACCCTTAGTATAGTGCCGTGGCATCACAGCTCACAGCAACTTCAAACTCTTGGGCTTAAGCGATTCTCTTGCTTCAGCCTCCCAAGTAGCTGGGACTACAGGTACCCGCCACAACGCCCAGCTATTTTTTGCTGTAGTTGTCATTGTTGTTTAGCAGGCCTGGGCCAGGTTCAAACCTGCCAGCCCCGGTGTACGTGGCCAGTGCCCTAACCACTGGGCACAGGTGCTGAACCTGAACTAGAACTTTGCTGCTTTTACAAATCAAATAAGAATTTAGTAAACTGTTCATTTCTTTCTTTCCTAGGGACATTATAATGAAGTAGCCAGTGACACAGGTTTCTGCAAGTGAGACTATTCAGATCACTGTTCTGACTCTGCTGTCCACTATGATAACCACACCCATGTTGCCTATGATGATTAAATTCTCTGCCTTGGCCCCTGCCACCCTGGGACCCAATTATCCCTGTTGTATTTAGGTGTTTCTATTCAATGGTGGCAGTTCCCACTGTAATTTCTGACTATAGAGCTCCCCAAGGACGCTGGAGCTCCCCTCACAAATTTATTTCTTATGTAGTGAAAGGTATATACTCTGGATAAGCAGGTAAGACATGATAAATGCCCCCTAACATTCCAATCTTTCCAGGTCTTTGGATCCTTCCTCTACAGTGTACTAAGGCAGTTCTGGCATTTTCCATATAGGCCATGTTTTGGCCCATGATTTAGCCCTAACCCCTCATGCTAAAGCATTGAATCTAGAATCTCTGCTCAGTGGGCCAACTCCACGTTCCTTCCTCAATTATCTCACACTCTTGAGAGGCATTCCTACACAGATCTCGTCTGTAAGTAGCACACCTTGTCATGGGCCACAGTTAGTACCTCATTCTTTGGAGCCTGCCAGGACTTGAGTCTAGTTATCAGTCTAGAAAAGAGTGGCAGGCATGGGTCCTAAGAAGGATCAGGTGCATCTTGACCTCAGGGGAGACCATTGTGGTTTCTTCAGGCAAAGGGTTAATTTCCTCTGAGAGAGGTAGATACCTCTGTTGATACTGGCAAAGCTCAATGTCTCCAGGTTTATTGAGACCTTCCCAAATGTCCCTGTCCCAATTTTCCAGGTCCCATTCTTTTCCAACCAATGCCCTCACATTAACGTAAGACATCCTGTGAGTTTGGGAATTGCGTTGTCATTAATCCAGCCACAGCAGGATGAGACTTTGGGTTTGCTTTTCAGAAATCTCAGCTCTGCAGCTATAGGAATCGAGAGTTTCTTTCAGGGAAGTTACAGAAACTTTCAGGTCATTTATACAGAGCTTTAGCTGGGAATCTGAAGCCATGAGTTCATCCTTTGTGCACTTTGTCCAGCGCAGTTAGGAGCAACCAGCCAATTTTATAATTCTCAGTTTGACTAAAATGTTCTAAAGTGTCAAATACATGGTTACCTAGAATCTTGCCTTTATATGGATTTGGTTAGGAGTATCCAATGGTGATGTTTTATGTATTCCTATAGCCACATCATGTCACGGACCACCTGTGTCCTCTTTATTCCTAGAGATAGAGTTATTAGTGCCTTTACATCTAATGAGAATAGAGAACCAATTCAGAAAACTTATTAAGAATCTATTCCTCTAGGCCAGGTGTGGTGGCTCACACCTACAATCCTAATATTCTGGGAGACCGAGGCAGGTGGATCCCTTGAGCTCAGAATTCCCAGATCAACCTGAGCAAGAGCAAGACCCCGACCCCATTTCTACTAAAAATAGAAAAACTAGCCAGGCATCATGGTGGGTGCCGGTAGTCCCAGCTATTTGGAGGATGAAGCAGGAGGATCTCTTAAGCCCAAGAGTTTGAGGTTGCTGTGAGCTACAATGACACCATGGCACTCTACCCAGGTTGACAGAGATTGTCTCAAAAATTGAAAAAAAACATTTCTCTAAAACCATTCTTGGCACCAAGATCTGTATTAGTCATGGTTCTCCCAGAACAAGCAAGATATAATTGTAATTTATATTGACTACAAGAAATTGGCTTCCATGATTGAGGGAGTTGGCTAGGCCAGTCTGAAATCTCAGGGCAGGTAGGCATGATGAACACTTGGGTAAGAGCTGATGGAGCTGACCAGGCTCAATGGCTTTATCCTCAAGGAAACCTGAGTTTTTATCTTAAGGCCTTTCAACTGATTGAGGTTCATTTACATTATTGAGGAAAATTTCTTTTAAATATAGTCAGCTGATTGCAGATGGCAATCACATCTGCAAAATACCTTCTCCGCAACACCTAGATTGAATAACTGGGTAATACAGCTTAGCCAGTTGACGAATAAAACCATCACAGACCCCATGAGGGTAACAAGTACGAACCATCACTCTGCTTGCTTCTATCAATGAACTTCTAATGCTTGCCTTTTCATACCGTGTTAGGGTGAGAAGGCTGACCCTAGAGGGTTGGTTTGTACCCCAAGGTCAGACAGCAAGTTCACAGCACTGCTGGGGTGGCCTCCTGGTCAACTGCATCTTTCTCTACAGACTGTTTCTCCCTCTGGGCTATATTATACTTTTTAATCAATGCACAATAATTGTACTTTCAAGTTGGGCACAGTGGCATGCCCCAGCTTCTTGGGAACTGAGACGGGAGGATGGCTTAAGACCAGGAGTTTGGGGCTATAGTACACTATGATCTGCTTGTGAATAGCCACTGTACTCTAGCCTGCGCAATGTAGTGAGATCCCGTCTCAAAAAAATCAAAAAAACAAAAACCCACACACAAAACACAAATACCACTAAACACTTTCATGGTCTTTATCATTCTTCAAGTTACTTAAAAATCAGCAACTCAACTGTTGAGCACCTGGAGACAATGGACGCAGAATAAACTGCTAGGATGACAGGAGTCTCTGCCAGGGTCATTCATAGTAAAACTTTATTGAACAGAAAACCCAGCAAAGGTTTTCACCTCTGCAAAGTTCCCCCTGGTTTAAAGTAAAGCACTGCATTTTAAAAAGCAATTATACATAAGTCTTTCCTAGAAAAGTCCTGCTAAAACATGTCTAGCAATTCATTGATTATATAAAGTAGTACACTTAGTGTAATTTAAACATTCCAACAGGAATCAAATCGTACCAGCAGAACCATTTCTGCATCTATGACTTCTATATACAAACACACATGCAGACACACACATCTAGAAAAGTTCTTCAAGCATAAACATGCAACACCTATGCCTTCTACTTACAATGCTTATGAAACTACATACAGTATATATTAAAGCTCTTCAGAATAAAGACATGAGAAGCCTTGAGCATTTTTTGTTCGTCAATTTGTATCACGGCTTCACGTCTTTTTGCTTTTGCTTGATCACAAAAGCACATCATCCTTGTCGGTATTTTAATAACTCTGCCATTGCCATGTTGAGGTGAGGAAATCTAGTTGGAATCAGATGATCCATTCCGTTCTTGTTGAAGCCTGTAGCAGCTACAGCACAAACACCATCAGTTTGCTATGGCTGGGGGGCCTTCCGGAAGAAGAGAGGCAAAGAAAGTCTTAAAGACAAGCCATGCTGTGCTCATAAATGAAGGGCTGGTCTGCTCATCATCCAGTACGTCCCTGTCTGGAGGGAGGTGGTTGGGGTCTTCGGTTTCAGGGTCAGTGCCTTCCTACAGGTAATGAGACACAGTGAGAAAACAATTAGGCTGTGATGAACACCAAATAACTGCCCCTTGTCCCACAGGGGCAGCAACCAGGACCCAGGAAATGATGCCCTAGGCGGGTAGGGCTCTTTCTCAAGCTCCCACAGAACAACTGTACTGATGGCGTGTTCATATTCTGAATACTCCCAGCAGCAAGTAACAGAGCAACTAGATCTTGTTTCTTTTTGAGACTAAATCTCACCCTGTCACCCTAGGTAGTGTCATAGCTGACAGCAACCTCAAACTGTTAGGCTCAAGCAATTGTCTTGCCACAGCCTTCTGAGTAGCTGCAACTGAGTAGCACGAACCACAAAGCCCAGCTAATTTTTCTATTTTTAGTAGAGATAGGGTCTCACTCTTACTTAGGTGGGTCTCTAAGTCCTGAGCTCAAGAGATCTTCCCATCTCAGCCACTCAAAGAGTTGGAATTAGAGACATGTGCTACCGCACCTGGCCCAGATCTTCAACTGTTACTAAACTAGTAAGTTAATTGCTTCATACCACTGAACACTCAAAATAGGTTTTAAAAAACATTTACATATACAAAAATGCAAATTGGTACTAGACAAAAATACCTGATGAATGATGGCATATTTGCATTTTAAAAATAGCTGCTACTCTACAAATAAATGTGACAAAATCATGAAATATTTAGCCACATAAAATGGTAAACCATAATGCTAGAAATCTAAAGGTTCAGGATTTGAGAGCCTGGCATATATGTTAAGCTCCCCTGAGCTCCATGGAGACTTCATACCTGTAGGTTATTGTTGGGGTCCTGGTTAACAGCTTCAGGAGGAAGACCATCATTTGGGAAGTTCTGAACCGGCCTTTGTCTAAATGGAAACCACCCAACATGATGCCTTCAAAGGAAGCACACAGAAGGTCATCTTAGCTAACATCACAGTGAGATTTACTCAAGAATCTAAGCCACCGCAACACCCTGATTTGCAGCTCCTAGGCAAGACCACCTGCAGAGACATTCTATCACACCGTGTCCCGGAACTCCTCATGTATCAGGTTCTTGAACACAGGGGATGTTTCTTCACCCAGTAACATAACCAGCACCTGGCACATAATATCTGCTCAATAGACACTTATTTAGCTGAACTAAACCTCATACTAGAAAACCTGAACAGAGTTGGGGGAAAAAATACACACACAGAGCTGTATTATATATAATATAGGACATAATAAAATATTCTAAATTTGCAGTTTTGTTTTTTTTTTTCTTTGGCCAGGGCCAGGTTTGAACTCTGCCACAACTATTCAGTATATGGGGCTGGCGCCCTAACCCTTTGAGCCACAGGTGCCACCCAAATATTCTAAGTTGGGTCACTTAAACATATGATTCATAGAAAATACTGAAAGTTTGATTTGAAGAATCCAATTAAATCCAAGTCTTAAAGCAAATATGATAAAATATTGACAATGATTAATAGTGGATGTGAGTATGACAGTCTAAATATTCTGTTTTTAAAAATGAAAATAAAAATCCACTTTTACCATAAAGGAAAAATTTCTTCTTTCAGTTTCAACCACAAAGACCCATCATCATTCTAGGCCAGGCTTTCCGAACTTTGCTACCAGTGACATACTGGGCAGAATATTTTCTATGGGAGTTGTCCCGTGTATTGTAGACAATCTAAGCAGCATCCTTTGCATCTACCTACCAGATGCTGCCAGGGCCTCCTCTCCTAGTTTTGGCAGCTAAAAATGTTTCCGGACATTGCCAAATGTCCCCTGGGAGGATGGGCACAAAATCATCCCCATTTGAGAATTAGTGCTCTAGGCCACCACTAAAGCCAAACATCAGGTCTATAAACGTCCCCTGGCCCCTCAGAGGTTTGCTAATAGTCAGCGCCTGACCTTTAACCTCCAAAGGCAGCTGTAGCCTGGTAAAGCAAAAATGTTCTTATTTAAACCAACTAAGACTTTCCTTTCCACATGGCTGTATAATTGTGGTTCACAAGCCTGAAAGGCACCTTAATCTGCAGGAAAAGAGAATATTCTTCTTATATTAACGTAAGACTAGTATGTTCTTGGGAGACACAACCAAACCATAAATTCCTTATCTGAAAGTACCAGAGTACTACTTAAACACACCTCCTTCAGTAATGATCAAATGCTCAAAAAGCACAAAATCTATACCGGATTTGAATGAATCACAGTGTAATCTGTGGTAAGGGTGGAAAAGAAAAGAGAAAGCATCTGCTTACAGGTACATAACCACGGTGGCCCCCATGACCATGAGGAATCTGCTTAGGGAAGAGTAGAAGTAGAGGATACTGAGAAAAACGGAGAATGTAGCTGCTGAGTAGGTCCAATCCAACCAATCTCTATTTATCTCGTCATCTTCTTCCACAATAGGACCACCTTGTGCATTCATCCGCAAATTTTGATTGGCTCCAGGATTAACCACCACTTGAGCAGCAGCATTCTGGTTGGCTGGCTGGTTCTCAGCTGGAAACTGGTTGTGAATAGGGGCTGGAGCAGGTGGAGAGACCACAGGTATCTCTTGTGCACTTGGTGATGGGACAAAAGTCCCTGATGCAGCAGTGGCTGCTAAACTAAAATAGAAATGATACAGGCAGATACTGTTGAGAGCAGGAACCCTAGAGTCTATGGCTCTCCTAACCTTATTTACACAAGAGGCTTTTACTATTAAGAGTTTTAAATAAATACATACACATTTGGTTTTCTTTAATTTAGCAAAGAATTTCTTTACTAACAGTCCTATCTATAATGCCTTTTCTTCTAAGAGATATCACATGGTCAAGGTCACACGGAATTAAGTATCAAGGCCACAATAAGAATATGATACAGTAGCAAATAAAAATTTTCACAAAACCTTAAAGATTCTATAATTGAAACACATTCTAAACAAAGGCATTAAACTTTGTCTCAGACGAAGCCCCCTTTATCAGTACATAAATCAGGCAGCTGCTCTTATTTACACTTGACTCCACCCACAGGCCCAGGCAGAGCTAGGCTCTGCAGAGACTTAGGAAAATACACTCATCTCTCCATTTTGAACTTTACAGGTGACATGGTTGAAATTTCCCTCAATTCCTGGGAGCCCTAACTACACCCCGCATGGTGAGAAGGACTCACTATTGCATGTAGTACTGCCGTGCGTAGATCTGCTGGAACCAGGAGAGCTGCAGCCACCCATAGGGTGTGTAGCCAGAGAAACCGGGTCCCAGGCCTTGGAATGCCTGCTGGGCAGCTTCAGGCCTATACAGAGATTAAAACAAAAAAATTCCCTACTCATGAGTTGGCTAAGTATGAATAAATGAAAACTAAGTTTAAATTAAAATCAGGAATTCAAATCAAAATGACAGAAGAATGCTTTATGGCAGTGGCATGGTAGATGACTGTACAACACACCTGTGTAACACAGCACAGAAAGTGCTGAATGACAAAGCCCTCCTAGGGTAGTCCAGATCCCACAGGAAAACGAAAGCCCCTACCAGCTGCTTATTCTGTGCAGAGATGAATAAACAAGCTGAGCTTTTTCGAGTTAAGTAGATCCCACCCAATTTTTGACTTGGTAGGTCTCACTGCAGGTCTAAATCTATTATTCATCCTTTAGAGAATATCTCAAAAGCCACATACCTGCCAAAGTCTTTCCTGAAGGAATTTTCTTTCCCTATCCTAGATCTAAATCTATAGTTACATGTGCATATATAACCTGTACATCTTACTGACCACTTGGTGTCCTATCCAGGTTGCTAGGTCCCCCAGCAATCTTGTGGGGAGGTAGCCCTCATACAGTTCAGTGAAAACAAGGGAATTTGTACAAGGGCTAGTAAATAGCAGAGCTGTACTTGAGGCCTGGCTTGTTTGATGCCAAACTCATGTTTCTTCAACATGAAGAATATAGCCTTCCATATTATCATGGAATATAGCCTTCAGGAGAGGCCTGTGGGGTCAACTCTGGTTTTGTGCTTATATAGAAAACTCATTTGGCAGCACATTACAAAGTTGAAATAATAGCAGAACTGGAGGAAGACAGGAATTGGTTGTGTGGTCACCCCTGTAGGTCAAGTCACATCATTCAGCAAAGTTACATGCACTGGATGTTCAATAAATATTTGTTAAATGCAACTGACAAGTTTAAATATGGTAAAATTCAAGTAAATACAGGCCTCAATTCTCAAGTTGTTCAGCCAGAATAAGGGAAGCAGTTTTAAGTTTTTCTATCCAATAATTTTCTATCCAGTAATTATCCAATTTATATGCTGACAATCTTTTAACCAAATTCCACACCCAGAGTACTTCTAAAATAGTATTTTCTTTTTTTTTTTTTTTTTTTGGAGACAGAGCCTCAAGCTGTCCCCCTGGGTAGAGTGCCGTGGCATTATAGCTCACAGCAACCTCCAACTCCTGGGCTCAAGCGAGTCTCCTGCCTCCGCCTCCCAAGTAGCTGGGACCACAGGCGCCCGCCACAACCCCGGCTATTTTTTGGTTGCAGCCGTCATTGTTGTTTGGCGGGTCCGGGCTGGGGATTCGAACCCGCCACCTTAGGTGTACGTGGCTGGCGCCTTAGCCGGTTGAGCTATAGGCGCCGAGCCTAAAATAGTATTTTCAATTCAATTAGCTCTTGGCACAGTATCATTTTGATCATTTAAAAAGTATGGAAATGAGAAGATAAAGTGCTTTTTTAATTTTGTTAGATCTGATGATGGCATTCTAAACACATAAGATAACTAAAATGGTTTTACAGTTATATACTGAAGTATGTAGGGATAAAGTAACAGAATGTCTGGGAATTATTTTTAAATACTTCAAAAAAAAAAAGAAGGGTACAATAGATGAAGCAAGTATGGCAAAACTTTGCTCATTACTGGGTCTGGGTGATAGTGTGGGAGTTCATCATACAGCACCCCCGTACTCTTGCAGTTCCATTAAAGGGAAAAAAAAAAAAACATCTCATTCATCAACATTTGGCTTTGGCTTGGTGCCTGTAGCTCAAGTGACTAAGGCGCCAGCCACATACACCTGAACTGGCAGGTTTGAATCCAGCCTGGGCCTGCCAAACAACAATGACAACTACAACCAAAAAATAGCCAGGCATTGTGGTGGGCACCTCTAGTCCCAGCTACTTGGGAGGCTGAGGCAAGAGTATCGCTTACTCCCAAGAGCTGGAGGTTGCTGTGAGCTGTGACGCCACAGAACTCTACCCAGGGGGACAGCTTGAGGCTGTTTCAAAAAAAAAAAAAAAAATTGGTTTTATCAAAAATTTAACAAAAAGGGATAGGGAAATTAGAGAATTTCAACTTGTGCTTAAATTATTTTTTTCCCAAAAGTACTTTCATAAAAAGTTTGCAAGAGCTACAAAACCCAAACATCAGAGCATTAGTCAGTTCTGGCTTTTGCTCTAAAGAAAAGCTCTAATTGCTATAAAGGGACATTTTTCCTACTACCACCAGCACAGTCCTTGGCAGAATGCTTCTTAAACAGTCTCTCCCCTTTTGTTACCCATTGTTACAATAAACAAGCGCAAAGCCACTCAGCAAAACATCTGCACAATGCATACGACAGCTATTTTTTCTGCAGCAGCACTAATTTCCTATAATGAGGGCAACCAAGAGGTCAGCACAATGGAAAGAACAACCACATAGGAAGATAAAATGCCTACATTTTCAATAATGTGTCAACTACTTTTTTTATATTTTCCTAAAAGACTGTGTATTAAGTTAAATATACTGGGTGGCCATAAAGTTCATGTGCAATTTAAAATAGTGTGCCATTTAAAGTTGCACAAAACTTTATGGACATTCAGTATAAGAAATCTTCAGTCTTTTATGAAGTGAAAAATCTGTACATTTTAAAGTTCTGCTATGTCTTAAATTGATAGAAATGAGGTACATGCATGTTGTATAAAGCTGGTTCATTATTATAACACTCACCTTGAAATGTTCTCCCATCCAGAGGGAGAAAGGTTCTGAAGAACTCCCCTCTGCCGTAAACCATCACTTGAGGAATCCCCAAGATACTGTCCCTGATTAGGACCAATGGGCTGCTCTGTGGATTCAGCAACCTAAGTAAGTGTAATATGAACACAGACAAAGGATCTGATGCAACTGTCTGAAATCAAGCTAAAAGTGTTTTGCTGTGAATTGCTTGCCTTCTACCTCCCACCTCTAAACATGACAAATTATACAGATGCAATGTTACGCAAAAACTAGTCTGAAATTTGTTCAACAACTTTCAATATATAGATACTTAAAAAACCTTATTTTTTTCCTAGGCCAACTATGCTGCAGTTTCACTAAAATCTTCCAAGGTTGGTGAGAGAGTTTTGAGACAGAGTCTATGTTGCCTTTGGTAGAGTGTTGTGGTGTCACTGCCCACAGCAACCTTAAACTCTTAGGCTTAAGCTATTCTCTTGCCTCAGCCTCCCAAATAGCTGGGACTATAGGCACCTGCCACAACACCCAGCTATTTTTGTTGTTGTTGCTGTTGTAGTTGTCATTGTTGTTGAGCTGGCCAGGGCTGGGTTTGAACCCACCAGCCTCAGGGTATGTGGCTAGCACCCTAACCACTGTGCTACAGATGCTGAGCCTCTTTTTCTTTCTTTCTTTTTTTTTTTTTTTTTTTTTTTGAGAAAGTGTCTTGATAATACTTTAAACATCTTATAGTACTAAATGTACTATGTACTAATCCTGGGCGGCACTTGTGTCTCAGTGAGTAGGGTGCTGACCCCATATACCAGGAGTAGGGGGTTCGTACCCGGCCCTGGCCAAACTGCAACAAAAAATAGCCAGGCGTTGTGGCAGGCACCTGTAGTCCCAGCTACTCAGGAGGCTGAGGCAAGAGAATCACCTAAGCCCAAGAGCTGGAGGTTGCTGTGAGCTGCGACACCACAGCACTCTACCGAGGGCAACAAAGTGAGACTCTGCCTCTTTAAAAAAAAAAAAAAAATTTACTAATCCCAGAAATTAAATTTAGCCAACCAGATTTATAAATACAACTTGGCCAGCAACCTAAATTAAATGAGAGAGAATTTCCTATACTATATTCAGTTGTCTTAGTAAATATAGTTGTTATACAATTATAAAGTACATTGAAGTATTAGAATATTAATAGTATGTATTTGAATAAACATTGTGAAATGAAAAAAAGCTTTTGACTGTTAAATATAAGTCTTTGGAGCCTCGTGTGGCAGTGCACACCTAGTCTCTAAAACTTGGGAACCTGAAGCTAGAGGATAGTCTGAGTTTAAGACTGGCCTGGGTAACATAGTGAGACCCCCCATCTCCAAAAAAAAAAAAACCCTCTATAACTCTTTAGAGATCACTTGATAAATATTGTGGCCTTTTCCAATTCAACTGCGTAATCACAATGAAAATTTCCAAAGGAAATATATTCACTTTTTTAGTCCAGTGATCTGGATAAACAGTACTGTAGAGCAAATCATATCCCAGAAGATGGTGTCATACATATAACTCCACTTTTCCATGATAGTACTAAGAGAACAGTCTACTACTATTACAGTAAATGCTCACTTGTACTGATAACACAGTTTCTAATTCTTAGAGAAGAAACACAATATTACTTGGTAAAAAGACTATAAAAATCTCTCTTAAGAGTTGTATTCAACTTCCTTTATTACTCCCCTGAGAGTCTGAATGATACAGATTGAGATAACCATGAAAAGGCAGACATACCTTTGTGTTGATTTCTGGCGTTTTTGAAGGACTCTTCACATTGCACACTAGATGCAAAACATGCCGTTTTTCCTGCTAAAACAAGAAAGGAATTACTTACAGACTTGAACTCAATCTGGTCAACGTTTAAAAACATTCAAAAGTTAACGTGGAAGTGAAGTACCTTTGGAAGCAAGTCCCTGAGACATTGGTGATCTAACAACAGCTTTCCCGAATAAATTAACCTCTGGTCCTCTGGACGCTGGAGGAAAGAAAGTAACACAGGTCAGCACTTAGCCCTCACAAGTCCCCAAACAGGTAAGAAACTGTTTCATACCAATAACTTTTATACACATCCTCCCTTCACCGCACACAGCACAAGAAAACACTGTTTCAAAGGCTCGATATACAGAACTCTTACTTAGAAAGTGCTTAATTTTAAGCTGGTCTCTTAACATGCAAATAAATTTAGGATGGCAAATGAACTCCAGTCCACAAAACCTATGGCAATATACTTGACTTTACTCCCAGGAAAACTGCTTTGTGCCACTACAACAACTGAGGGCTCCTATAGCAACTGAGTTTGACAAAACTCATAGTACTGCCAAGGTCAGCCTTCACCAAAACCACTAAGCATTGCCCCTAAATAACAAAAGCAATTCTAAATTTAAGCCCTGTGGCTTTCCAAACCTACAAACACAACAACCCTGTGAGATTTAATATCTATATTTTAAGGGGAGAAAGTCTTGAGAAATTGACTTGTCCAAGGTCAGGTGCTAAAGAGTCAAGATTCCAACCTCTCTTCTCTTCCATACAAGAGGGACTCCACACACTTTTATACAAACATTACTTTTAAAATCTATTTTCAACTCCTTAAACTATACTTAAAAATAGTCTAAAATTATACACACCAAAGTTAGTACACTGGAGATTACCAATTTGTTAACCTGTTCTTGTCAGAATAACTGATTATGCAAAAGCTGGATAAAGTTATTCCTGCCAAGCAGCCTAGGATTATAAAAGCAAGCTTTTAACAACAAACAAAAGAAAACAGGAAAAAACTGTACCTACTTATCTACATACATCAGGATTTCATAACTAAAGCAAAAGAAACACATTGGATTGCTGTGTTCATCACTGTTCTTATTGATGGACTTTGTAGGTAAATTCTACATGTGAATTTGTAAATTACTACTGTACATGTGGAGTCCTGCATTACATTAAAGAGTTCAACCACCAGAAAAGGGTTGAAAACCACAGCTTCCTGTGGTTTTAAATTATCCCCCCACCACCTGTAAAGGCCTAAACTAACACTCTGTCTTCACCCAGAAAGGCTGATTTGGAAAAAAAAAAAAGCAAACTTTTAGAGTTTCTCACATTATATCATTTTATACTACAGAAAACAAATGGTAAATATGCATTAGCCATAATAATTTTTAAACACATATTTGTGTATCTGAGAGATTATTTGCAACCTTAGGTCTTTAGATTTAACAAACAGAAGTTATGTTCTTCACCCAAGGAACTCTCCTCCAAAAACAGTGCCTTTTTAAAATTGAGTCTCACTCTGTCACCATGGGTAGAGTGGCTTGGCATCATAGCTCACAGCAACCTCAAACTCTTGGACTCAAGTGATCCTCTTGCCTCAGCCTCTTAAGTAGCTGGGATTACAGGGGCCCACCACACCACCAGGTTAGTTTTTCTGTTTTTAGCAGAGACAGGGTCTCACACTCTTGCTCAGGCTGGTATCTAACTCCTGAACTAAAGGGATCCACCCACCTAGGCCTCCCAGGGCACTAGGAGTACAGGTGTGAGCCACCAGGCCGGACTCAAAACACGTCCTTTTAGCAAATGATGCAACTAGAGACTACACCTGCTTCAGCAATTTGTGTACTTAACAGCCATTCTCAGGGCAACACTGCCACTTAGTTTCTTGGAAGCAGTTATGATGAAATTGCAAAGTGTGCCAAGGTGAATTCTAAAGGACACAGGAACAGAAGCTTATTAACTAAGCAAATTTAAAAATATCAACTCAGAAGGAAAACTCAATTCTACACCGTTGAGCATATGGAACATAAACAGACACAGGAGCTACTGCGGGTTGCAACTCCTCCGATAAGAACGCGTAATTTCACGATCTCTTCCTGCCTAGATGCCCTCTCCTGTTAATGGAGAATTACACTGGCGGGCAGTAAAGAACACTGCTGACACTTACATAATATCAGAGCAGAAAGTAAATACAGGAAGGTCCAGCTCACAGCCTCATCACGTGTTGGGGAGGGCCAGCTGCGCTAAGGGTGATGTTGACAGACATCGACCAAAACAAAGCCAGGAAGTCTTCCTAACTGAGGGACTGAAGCCTGAAAACCACACTCAAGGAGACTCCTGGCTACTTCCCCTCTAAATCACCCTTTGCCAGAAAGTGCCCAAGGCTCCTCCCTGGGACCAAGCAATGGCTGTGCAGTCCAGTGCCACAGGGAGGGGCCGGGGGAAGGTGGGCAGGGAGAGGAAGAGCCACGTTCTGCTTCTGGGTGTGGGACCTTAAGCACATCGCGGCTGGGCGCGCACTGTGCTTCTCTAACCACTGGCCGAGTTGGCATCACTCTCTTCTCCCCGTTGAGAGGCTACATCCAAAAACCTCATTTCACAACACTATTTTTTCTTATTTCTACCCAATGGATGCAAGCCGGATTGGGCACACCTAGTCGCCCAGGCACTTGGGGGAAACTGAGGTTTGGAGAGTGAAACAACTCACCCAAGGTCAAACTGCCTTTTCAGTGGTTTGGTTAAGGCCAGAGGCCAGATCTAGGGACAAGGAAGGAGTCTGGGCAGTTAGGTCAGGAGTGTGACAACCTTGGGGACAAGGGATGTTGAGTGACAGGGGTTGGCAGCCCGCCAGGGAGCAGGGTTGATGGCAGTCTGGAACGAAGATGTATCAGCCACTGGGCAAGGAGATGGGGAGCCTAGGGTGGTGAGGCAGGGAAAGGGGAGACCACAGCCCAGGGGTAGGTGACCAAGCGAAGGCCAGCCGCCATAGGAGGTTGACGACGGAGGTGACCACAGGAAAGGGAAGGCAGACGTGGAATCCTTAAAAGGGAGGTCAGGGCCCTCTCACCGGACGCTCGGGATATACGCGGCTCAAGTGGGCCTTGAGATGGCCCACACTCCAGCTGCGGTCACCGCTCAGCTCCAAGTCGCGGTGGCGCTGGTTGGGGCTTTTCACCAGAAGCGTGACGGACTCGGGCCGGGGCTCCGGTTCCATGTCGGCAGCGCTGTGGGAGGATCGGCTGCGCTCCGAGGTGCCAGGCAGGCGGCGTCGCGGCCGCCCGCAAGCTCCGCAACGACGGTTCGCGTCTCTGGGGCGCGCGCCCCCGCCGCGGGAGCCTTTTATTTGCGCCCCGCGCCCTGGCTCTGCGGGCAGAACGCTCTGTGGCTGCCGCCCATTGGCTGAGGCGAAGGCACTGCCCTAACGTGGCCCAATCGGCGCCCGAATCTGAGCAGCGGAGGGGCGGGCTAAGCACGTGGGCGCGGGCTGATGCAACCCGCCGCCGTTGCGTCACCCGGAGTCGGGGCTGCGGCCGAAGCGCCTTGGTTCGGCGGCCATGTTTGGGTGCGCTGTGGCCTGCGCGCGGGCTCCGTCCTGGGAGCTCGGGGCGCGGAGAGGGGCCCTTCTAGCTCCAGTTGCCGAAGGCTCTTGAGGCAGGGGCTGCGGAGGGGGCATCCCGACTGACTTCAGTGTAGCGGGCTCTGCAAATTGTTTCCTCACAAAGCAGCACCCCCGCCCTTTTTGACCCGGGGCATCCAGGCCCACTTCTCCTTGCCCCATGGCCTTCCTAAAGGGGATCCTCCCCACCTGGCCTCGGTTCCTAGAATAGCTGGGCCGAGCCCGCGTGGGACCCCACCCCAGAGGTCGCTCTAGATGCCCCATAGGAGGGCGAGGAAGAAGCGAGTCCCTGTCTTCTCTGGCTGAGAGAGGGGAGGCGTCAGGAAGCGGTTGCAGATCAAGCTGAGCTCCAGCCTGGAACGGGGAACGTCCCACCCACAAACTCCCCAGCGAGCAAAGTGGCACGGACCCAACTTCCTGGAAGCCGCGGAGGGACAGCACCCTTGGTACCTATGGCGAGCTGGCCGCAGTCCAGCTTACACTGGCAGACCTCAAAATGGGCATTGCTTTAGAGGACAGGGACATGCGCTGGGCACAGGCCAGGAGGACCCGCTCAGATTCCGGAAATGTGACCACGAATGCTGCTCAGTTGTAGGCGCTCCCGCCCTCCCTCCCTCTCCTCTGTAGGAAAAAAAGTCTTAAAATCAAAACTGACATAGCCCTGACATAGCCGCGTTCTTGTTCCAGTTCCGTTGGGACACCTGTTTTTCCAGGTGTGCCCGGAGTTTGACAAGGGCAGGAGGATAACAGGAGGAACCTGGTCCGGCTGGCGGGCGTATTCGTTTGCTACAGCTGTCATGACAAAGTCCCATGAACTGGGTGGCTTAAACAAGTTATTGTCTCGCAGTTCTGGAAGCTGGAAGTCTGAGATAAAGGTGTCAGCGGGACTGGTTCCCTCTGAGGCTTCAGGGAGAGTCGGTTCCGTGCCTCTCTGCTAGCTCTCGAAGTTGGCTGTCAGTCTTGGGGATTGTAGGTCATCCCTACACTCTGCCTGCATCATCATATGGGGTGTGGGTGTGTGTTTTCACATCCTCTTCCCTCTAAACCTGTCTGGCTCTGTGTCCAAATTTCCCCTTTTTATAAGGACACCAGTCATGAGGGATTAGAGCATACTCTAATGACTCATTTTAACTTGCTCATTTGCAAAGACCTTGTTTCCAAATATTGTCAGATTCATAGGTACTGGGGGTTAGGACTTCAACGTCTTTTTGGAGGACACAATTCAACCCGTAACAGCCTTAATGTAACACAGAACACAAAGTGGTTTCTTTCTCAGCTGCCCTTATATTAAGAAGGGAGGTTGAGAGCTTTGAAGATAAATTGTCCTGGTGCTCAGCTTTTGCTGAATGGTTTTTGTTTGCTGAGAAGGGATCTGACCCTTTTCCTCAAGGCTGGCTTCATGGGCATGGGATCTGTGGCATCCAATGTGGCCCCACACTTGGTTTAATAGTCTGCTGTTATCTTAAAATTCTTTTTTTTTGAGACAGAGTCTTACTATGTTGCCCTCGGTAGAGTGTGGTGGCGTCACAGCTCACAGCAACCTCAAACTCTTGGGCTTAAGCAATTCTCTTGCCTCAGCCTCCCAAGTAGCTGGGACTATAGGCACCGGCCACAACACCTGGCTATTTTTCTTTTGCAGTAGTCATTGTCGTTTAGCTGGCCTGAGCTGGGTTCGAACCCACCAGCCTGGGTGTATGTGGCTGTCGCCATAACCACTGTGCTCTGGTGACAAGCCCATTTTAAATTCTTAATAAATTTTAAACAGAAGCCCTGCATATTTGTTTCATACTGGGCCCCACAAATTATGTATAATAGCTTATCATAGATCAGGATGGGAGAAAATGACTGATTACAGTCTGGTTGTCTTAAAGTTAAGTATGCCAGTAGCAAGGTTCCTTAGCCTACAATGACAAGCCTCAGGCCCCTTAACACATAGATGACCAGTCACGAGTTACCCAGTAATCTGGACAGTTTCTGCTTAAAACTGCTGGTCAACAATGTGTCAAGATGTTAGAGGTGCCAAGTGACTCTATGTCATGAGCAGCTGAGAGATGAGGAGGGGAGAAAAAATAAAATAGGTTGAATTTGGGACAGTTGGGAATTGAGACTGGCAAAAATCAATCAGGGAACAGCTGCTATGTTTACAAATTGTTAACCAGCATTTTTACACAGAAATTATCCATCTTACCAGGTAACTCGTGACTTGTCAGCAGTGTCTACTCTGTAGTAAGAAAAGTACAGGAGTGGTTTTTGTCCTAGGAAAAAAATGATCCAATTTCTGTGATTCCCTCTTGAGTTATATCTCCCAAATGAGCTTTAGCTCCTTTTAGAGGACTTTGGTGACTCTGCTTACAGCATATAGGAAAACACTAAATTCAAATCAACAAGTGTGCCAAGAATAGAAAGCTAAACACAGCACGACCCTGCTCTCTGTGACCTTACAAATATAATGGTGGTGATAACAGAAATAAAAAAATCCAACGTCTCATACATTTCTGAAGGATTTATGGTTATGTTCAGGGATTATGCTGAGAAAAAGAGAAGAGACAGAGTCAGAGAAAACTTGATGGGAGAGGAGGGAGAGGTGTAATTAGAGCTGAACTTTGAAAGATGGGTAGGATTTGAAAAAAAAAAAAAACAGTGGCAGCAATTACTGATTAAGCTCATTGTGGTGCCAGTAACTTGATACACAGAATTTATGTGGGAAAGTATAGCACAGTGGTTAAACTCATGGGCCCAGTTTTTGCCATTTACTAGAAAGGCAAGTTATTTAACTTCTCGTACCTAACTTCCTTCATCTGTAAAATAGGAATAATAATAATAAGGAGGATAAAAATAGTATCTATTTCATAGTTGTGAGGTTTACATGGTATAACATTGCTAAAGCTCTTAGGACAGACCCAGACATTTAGTAAGCCCTCAGTAAATATTTGCCATTAATATCTAGAGGACTGCAAACAGTCGAGTGGTTCTTACTCCCCCCACCCTTTGGCCCCTGCCATGTGATGTTTTCTGCCATGTTATAATGAAGCAGGAAGGCCCTGGAAAGATGCCGGCCCTTGCTATTGAATTTCTCATCCTCCAGAACTTGGAGCCAATACATTTCTGTGCATTATAAAGTACCCAGTCTGTGGTATTCTGTTACAGGTATAGCAGCACAAAACAGACTAAGACATGAAGATTCCCACAACACCAAGTATCGACAAGGATGTGGAGCAAGCAGAATGCTCACACAAGGCTGGTTGGAGTGTGAAATGGTACAAAGTTGGTCTGGCATTTTCTCATAAAGCTAAACACAACTACTGTATAACCCTGCCATTACATGCATAGGGATTTACCCCAAAGAAATGACAACATACATTCGGGCAGAGACTTGAACGAGAATGTTCGTGGCAGCTAGATTCATAATACCACCAAATGCTAGGAATCGTTCAGGTGTCTAACAGGAAACTAGTTAAACAAATTATATCTATACAATGGAAAACAGTAATAAGAAGGGATGAACTACTGATACATGCAACAACGTGAATGAATCTCAGAACCACGCTGAAGGAAAGAAGCAGACAAAATGTATACCTATTACATGATTTCATTCATATACAGTTCAAGAATAAGCAAAACTCATCTATGGTGACAGAAAACAGAGCAGTGGCTGTCTGGGGATAAAGGTAGCAGAGATTGACTTGGGAGGGGCCTGGCAGTGGTGTGCTGAAGCCACCTTGCACTAGTTCACAGAAACTGATTATGATTCTGTCTCCCCAACTCTGCTTTCAGTGACATCACATTGATAGCTTGAAAATGGCCATAGTGAGAGTATTTACACCAGGGAGATCAACTAACACGGTAAATCACAGCTTTTCTTACCCCCAGGGATCTATTTGTTAATCTTTTACCACCATACCACTGAGCCTGAAGGAACTTTCTGGGGTGATAAAATGTTCTCTATCTTGATAGGGTATGGTCACAAAAGCATAGACATTTGTCCAATTTGATCAAGTTGTACACTTAGGAATTTATGCATTTCACTGTATTTACATTATATCTCAATTTAAAAATATTTAAAGGCTCGGCGCCTATAGCTCAACCGGCTAAGGCGCCAGCCACGTACACCTAAGGTGGCGGGTTCGAATCCCCAGCCCGGA